AGAAACTGTTCTCACTGCTTTATACACGATCAGTTCAGAAACCTAACCAAAAATACGAAGACTTTTATCAAGAAATTAAATTTAAGTAACAGTCTGAGAATTTGTAAATTTAGATTAGCCATCATAGTCCCGATCATATTGCTTTTGAATTGAGACTACGATACACCGTTTTTAAGCTCATTTATTTTTGGTTTGAATGAATCATATAGGTCCTATGTAAGAGCCGTTTTACGCACAAGAGAATTACTCCGAAAATTATCGTCATAATTATGCCGAAAATTTTTGCTGTCGTATTACACGTAAAAGAATTCTTGTGAAAATTTTCATGGTAAAAATATAAAACTCGTTCTATAGAATATGCGCGAGAATCGGCGCAGAGGGTTAGTTCCGTGCATGTCAATATGAAATGTCAACGTCAACAACATAACCTCACTTAACATTTGTGGGTGTGGTCTTGTTCGAGTCGAACGAAGAAGCGTTTATTGTTTATATGTTTATTCATAATGTCGTGGAATCGGGAAGAAGTTACACTGTTGTTGGAGGAGCACCAAAAATGTTCAAACCTTGTACAATTACAAAAACAGAAATTTGCGGCGTCAGGCGCTGGATGCGATAGTCCAAGCGTTGAGAAGTTTTATAATATTATCCAAGATCTCGATTTCAAAAATAAATTTAAATCAACGGACGTCATACCCGTTAAGGTTATGTCCATTCGAAAATATTACTCTAATGCGCAGGCGTATCATATGAATTACTCCGAAATTTTGTTTGCTTGTGTCATACAGGTTGTAGAGAAAATCTTCAATATTTTTTCCATGCAAATTTTCGGCATAATTATGACCATAATTTTCGGAGTAATTCTCTTGTGGCTGTAAAACGGCTCTGGGACAGCAAAATCCTACTACGATTGATCTTGTATTCGATATTGTCGTGATTATGACAATTTGCAAATGAAAGTTGATTACAAATTTTCTAAACGACAATAGCCTCCGTCGCAGAATAAAGCGCAAGTTCCAAATCAAATTTTCGAAAGGTCTAATTCAAATTTTTCTCCGAAGTCCAATTAGTTTAGAGCCCAAAATAGTCAAAGTTGGCTAGAGCCACAACAAACATTCCCAAAAGATCCTATGCAATTACCACCAGTACTCATTTGTCTTCTGTTAAATGAAGTCGCTTTTTCGTTGTTTGCACATTCATAATTCGTATGTTCTGTTATTTATCTGGGGTAAATAAAATTTAAAGTGTGGAACAGTTGAACGAATTGTAGAATAACTAACGGTTTTGGTCGAAAGTGTCAAACTATGAGGGAAAACTTTGTAAGTGATCAACATACTTTGACAATGCAGAGTAATACGGTAGGAGATAACATTTCTGTAGTGCTATATCTACTTTGCCCTTTTTCAAATGGGTTCCAATTCTCAAAAGTACAGGGTGGTCCATAAGTCCTTTGAAATTTCAAATTTGAATAAAATTTAACGGGTGAGCGTGAGCGGCGCGGGCGAGGTGGGGGCAGTATCTTCAGTGTCTGGGAATTCAGTCGCCATGGAGTGTTTCACTGGAGCGGATCGTGCTTTTTGTGTGCGCGCGTTTTATCAAAATAATGTTTCGGCAACCATTGCGCGGCGTAAATATCGAGAATACCACAATTTACACAATTTTACAAAGTGTCCAACAGCTCAAACGATTAAGAACTGGGTTGCTAAGTTCGAAGAGACTGGTTCGACGTTAGATAAACAGCGGTGGGATCGACCAAGGACAACTCGTATTGAAGAAAACATCAACATTGTGGCACAGTCTGTTCGTCAAAATCCTACCCAGTCTACTCGTAAGCGTTCCAGTGCACTAAACGTACCCAGAACATCTTTACAGCGGATTTTAAGGAAAGATTTACATCTGCACGCTTACAAAATTCAGTTAGTGCTGGAATTAAAAGATAATGACGCTATTCAGAGACTAAACTTTGCGAATGAAATGTTGAATCGATTTTCTTCGCTCAATAATGTGTTGTTCTCGGACGAGGCTCACTTCCATTTAAACGGGCATGTAAATAAACAAAATTGCCGTTATTGGAGCCCCGAAAATCCAAGGCGTAAGCGTCAGAAGCCCTTACACAGCCCTAAAGTTACAGTTTGGGCTGCTATGTCAGCGCATGGCATCGTAGGTCCTTATTTTTTTGAGGACGACAGAGGTCGCGCATTAACTGTTACTTCGGAACGGTATGTAGCAATGATAGAAGAGTTTTTGACACCAGCGTTGCAGAATTTTCCAGGCTATAATACGCAGACCTGGTTTCAATAGGACGGAGCAACTGCCCACACCTCCAACACTTCTATGCCCGTCGTCTGTCAATTTTTTCCCAGCAAAGTAATTTCTCGAAGAGGAGACTTTTCCTGGCCACCACGTAGTCCAGACTTGACCCCAATGGACTTCTTTTTATGGGGCTACCTCAAGAGTAAAGTGTACGACACCACTCCGCGATCAGTTGATGTCCTGAAAGAAAATATCCGAAGAGAAATGGCAAGCATTACAGTGTTGACTTGCCGCGCAGTCATCGACAATTTTAGACGTCGTTTATATGAGTGCCGTGATCGTAATGGATTGCATTTAGACGATGTGATTTTTAAATCATGATTCCCATTCAATAAAGATGATAACAAAATATAATAATTCTTCATAATGTAACTAGTTTGGTTTTATTCCTTTTTTTCCAGCTCAAAGGACTTATGGGCCACCCTGTATTTGGTGTAGGTATCTACTCTGACCAAAACAGTGACCCTGTTAACCCTATTACATGTTGTACTTCGTACTTTGTGTTTAAAACCATCCCATTGGAATCTTGGAATGTTGTTATCATGTTTTGAAAAAGTTTCTATGCCTTTGTTATCTGGCCACAACTTCCTAATAAAAAAATGCCGTTCGGTATTTTCAGAATAAAAGATCGAGTTCAATATAATCTGCAGTTAAACAGATTCAACCTTTTGACGCCATTTTTTTCTTATATAAATAAAAACGTGATACAGTGAATCGTACGTTGTTACCACCAACGCCCCAAAAATAGACCTTGTTCTTTATATTTTGTAATTACTCACTATCTTACTATAGTTTATTCACTAAATCAAAGTAGTTACGTCACAACGTCAAATAATGACAGTGACGCACATGGTTGCCACATTAATTAAAACTACTGGACCTTAGGACGTTTTACAAAATCTACTTTATGTCTTCGATGCCTTACCGCAACCAATATTACAGAGCGTATGTTTTGTAAAAGCTAGAGCTAGTATAAATTCTATTTACTAATACCTCTCTTATGGACTGTAAAGGCAATAATGGAGCTCCATGATCTCGGTCTCAAGATATTTCGTCGAAGAAATGACGAATTCTTTTGCTTGTATACAGACAATATTTTCATTTAATTTGTCCAACAGGTGTAATTCCACACTAGCAATCTTGTTTCATCAGTATAAATACGGAATACCACATCTCCCTCTAGCTCGATACGTCGCGGCGCTATCCTACAGAAGAATCTGTAAAATGTACGTGTGTTTCTTGGCTAAACGCCACAACGAAAAATAAGCTCGCCGCTCTCATTAACTGCCATGTCTTTAGCAACTGGTAATTATGAAGAGTATGCAGGGTGTCCCGAAAAAAGTGTGCAATATTCTACCAGCGGTTTCTAGAGCTTAAAATAGGAAGAAAAGTTTATATAAACATAGGTCGACAAACGCCCCCTAAGGGCGCTACGGTCTCCCCTGAAGATGGTTTTTCCTTAATATTTCCGAAACGTGTTGAGATAAAGACATGAAATTTAGTATTCTAGCCTAGTTTTTTATGCTGGATCTAAAAATATTAACAGTTTTAGACAGTTTTGTTTGGAAGCGTATGTAACAGGGCCGGACTCAGGTTATTTTAGCCGCAAAATATTTGTGTGAGTCTATTTTTGAAATTCAATTTCAGAATTTGAAAATTTAGTGTTTTCTACATAAAAAAGGTACTCTTATTGAATATCGATAAATTGTGCCATTTTTGAATAAAATCAAACTAAAGAATTTGTCACATGATAGGAAATGTAGTGCGAATTTAAATGAATTGTTGAATAATTAGCCATAGCAACGAAAAAACTAATTTAATAGTTGATAAATATTACATAAACACATACTTCTATTGCAACATAGCTAACATTTAGGCAAAAACAAAAGAAACAAATTTTTTCTACGATCGAAATTGAAATTTGTTTAAAAAAGAAGACATACAGTTGGATATACTTAAAACTAGCTTTACAATAAGTGTTCAAATAAATTCCCACTTTGTTGGAATACATAGTCTCGCTCGACGAACTAATGATTGCCTAGCCCGAAAAGTGGAAAACCTTTTTCTTCTTATTTCATTTGCAGCCTGATGGATTCTTTGAAGTAAATCTGCTTGAGTATTTGCTTCAGTCGAGTAAACTAGGTCTTTTAAGGACCCCCAAAAATAGAAATCCAATGGATTTAGGTCAGGTAAACGTGGCGACCACGCTATAGGACCTCCTCGGTCTAACCATCTGTCTGGAAAATTTACGTTCAACCAATTTCGAACATTGCGTCCAAAATGTGCAGGGGCGCCATCATGTTGAAAAAACATATTTTCTTGAAACTGCTGGCGCACATTCAATGGTATCCATGAGCTCATTCTGATGAAAGTTCAGATACACCTCTGAATTAAGACGATTGGGAAGTACAATAGGCCCAATTACTTGATCTCCAATTACTCCTGCCCATAAGTTCAATGAAAATCTATGTTGGAAATTTGCACGGCGAACAACTTTTGGATTTTCATCTGACCAGTGATGCATGTTATGGAAATTAAAAGCACCATTCCTAGTAAATATTGACTCATCCGACCATAATATTCTAGGAATAGTGTTTTCCTTTGCTAATATCCACTGGCAAAACTCGATTCGTGGTAAAAAATCTGCCGCCGTTACATGCTGCACCCGTTTAAAATGATAAGGATGTAATCCTTGCATTCTTGTCATTCTTCCTATCTAAAATTATTATTTTTAGGATAACTATCAAATGGGTATTCATACATTTTTCTTACTATTGATCGAGGTATATCCATGATTTCTGAAACATTTCGTATGCTTATTTGAAGATTATTTTCAAACATATTTAAAGCAATATCCATACGATAATTTCCCAGTGGCCTTCCTGAGCCCTGCATGCGCTGAAACCGCACCAAAACCGAACCAAAACCACACCAAAACCACATGAAAACTTCCATGGTTCGACAAATTCCGGTGAATATCAGTAAACATTCGACGTCCAGGTACTATGCGATTTGGAAATATTCTTTGATATTCTCTTACGGCTGCCAATGAACTACCATTGCAAAACCCGTACACAAAATGCATGTCAGTCAGTTCTCTGTCTGTAAGTCTTGGCATTTTAAATCGATTTGATAAAAATTTTGATTTTAATCTAGTAATTTTACACCACTTTTGTTTGCAGTCATGACTAATTATGTATAATCAACAATTGATTTAAATTCGCAGTACATTTCCTATCATGTGACAAATTTTGTAGTTTGATTTTATTCAAAAATGGCATAATTTATCGATATTCAATAAGAGTACCTTTTTTATATAAAAAACCCTAAATTTTCAAATTCTGAAATTTAATTTCAAAAATAGACTCACACAAATATTTTGGGGCTATAATAACCTGAGTCCGTCGCTGTTAGATACGCTTCCAAACAAAACTGTTTAAAATTGTTAATATTTTTAGATCCAGCATAAAAAACTAGGCTAGAATACCAAATTTTATGTCTTTATCTCAACACGTTTCGGAAATATTAAGGATAAACCATCTTCAACGGAGCCCCTTTAAAAGACCGTAGCGCCCTTAGGGGACGTTTGTCGACCTATGTTTATATAAACTTTTATTCCTATTTTAAGATCTAGAAACCGCTGGTAGCATATTGCACACTTTTTTCGGGACAACCTGTATAGACTGTACTATGATTTTATTTGAACATGTCACTTTTAAAAACACCAAGTGTTTTTGTTGAAACAGTCGCCAAGATATACATTTTTGTTTGTTAGCAATGCCGTTCAGTGTCAATTTTGTTATCATCTTACATCAACCATGAGAATTGAAATTCGGAGAGAAAATTGTGACATAAGAGCAAGCTTAATAAAAACCGATGAATTGCAACCGGTAAATTATTACAGATGTTTTAAATTCTGATTTGTATTGTTAAAACGCCAAAGTTCTTTCGCGTAAAAGCACAAATAAAAATCGATGGTGTCTTGTATTTTGGATTGCTGCTCAAAAACTAACCCGTGATATATGAAAACAACAATAGACACTAATTTTTGCAAGCTCTTAGGCGCACTGACTATTTTACCAAGTGAAGAAATAAGCACCGAAAACACCGCGACAATTCAATGACGTAAAGCTGATCCAATGCGCAAACTGACATAAAACCGATAATCCTAATCAAGACAGTTCGGTAGGCGTACTATTCAGATCACAATTTATTGGTTTTTGGTTTGAATTCTTAGATCATTAAAGTACCTTTCGCAGACTTAGCGAAGTTCAAAAGCGTCCGTTGCCGCCTTAAAACTAACACTTGTCTATGAAAACAACATTAAACACTCACCTTTGCGAACTCTTCGATACACAGACAATCCTTTTGATAAAAAAAATCCAGATGGAGAAACAAGCACGAAACCACCGCAACAAACCAACGTAAACACCGACAGCGTACGAATATGGTCCTTCGCGCCGGATAAGCGACACAACTTTCGTGTACAATCTCGTAAACGCAACTGAAACCGACGTCGAGCGTCGGTGCCGCGTACCGTCTGTCCCTGGCAGGGTCGAGTACCGGCGCGCCGCCTAGGATGCGTGATGAAAATCCAAGCTGATGAAAGCATCAAAGCTCGCCGTGAGCGATGCACGGTAGCAAAACGCCAGAAGCTACGGTTGACAGGTCGATAGGTTAAAGCCATCACCCAGACGGCACAGAACCCAACTAGCAAAGTAGTGCTATAAGATTTTGGTAAAAGAACCGTTCAGCCATAAAAGCTCTCTATCGTTGTTGCCTGAACAGAAAAATGCTGGCCTAATGTTGTGTGGAATGCAAATTGCTTTCTGCAACATATTTGCTCTAAAGTGAGGTGTTTAAAATATTCTTATAGCATAGTTACACAACACCCGTAGAAATTGCGTAACTACTTTGCACGATAATCACAAGAAAATTTGCTATTCAAGTAATTCAATAGCCCTATATCACAGTGTAGAAGTTTATCATATACCTGTGTATGAAATTCACAAAGGCCGATATGTAAGTAAACAAGATGACTGTATTGTGTTAGTTATATATTCTTCACTTCGTCTATACAATACATAAGAAATAGTTTGGTTGCAATAAAGTAGAATATCGTAACAGAATAGTTGTATAGTTGACAATAACTGAATCTTGCACTGACGCAAATGTCCTATAGCGGCTGCAAGAGGCTTACACTTTTGTTGTATAACTGTTACCTGCAGCCCTTATACAACCTCTTAAATGACTGAAGTGTCCTATTAGGTGTGCCCATTCCGCTTGTATAGCTGTTCTAAGAGGGTTTTGCCAATGTTCTTACAGTATACAATGCTGTGTAAGGAATACTGTATAATCATTCTTGCAACTCTAATAGGAGTGATAATTGTTAGTTGGGAAGGTCTTAGATACGTCCATTTTATGCACTAATAATGTCTGAGACATTGAAAAAACGTTTTTAAGATAACTCTAGCGCAACATTTTACGAACATCCCGACACGACATAGACAAACATCTTTGATCTTCTTATGTCTGCTAGAAGAGATGCATTTTTAGAATTCGGGTTTCCAAAAGATATTAGCGAACATATGAGAAATATAATTGCTGAATGGAGTATATATTTTTTTGTTTACCCAATCACGAATGGAAATATATCTAATAACCCTTTTTTCAGATTAACATATTTTAAAACAATTTCGTTATTTTTAACAAGTTGTTTTAGAAACAGAATTGATCGCGAACATATTTTAACTCATTAGTTGGTCACCAGATGACGATGCATCGGTTTAAGATACCACATCCCTATATTTATCTTTGCAACATCTCTAGCCTTGTCATCTGTCAATCTGACAAAAGTTTCTTGACCGCCTTTTGTTTTCCTGTTTTATTCTTGTTTTCCTTGGGAAAAAGTACTTACTGTGAATTTCGATCGTCTTCTTCACCGTACGTTTGTTAATTTTGGATACTAGAAAGTGTTATCTGGATGCTGTTGTGTCTTGTAGAACTCCAGATTTCACTGTTTTTTTCTCTTAAAACTTTCAGAGGGTAGTCTGATAGATCATTTAGAAACAAAAAAGTGTGGATCAAGTAGGTACGCTTTTCATGAAATTTTTTTCCCAAAACGCTGTTCTTTCCATCCTTATTTGCACGGCCATCTATCTGCCATATGATGTAGACGTCTGTGGATATGTCATATACGAGAGGTGCTTGACTGCGGCGTTGCCGGATTGGGCTCCGCATTTAGGGAAAAATATGAAAAGTGGAAAATTTATATACATACATTAATTATTAATGAATCACAAAAACGAAAAACAGAAACAAACAACAGTAGCAAAGTAAAAGGCGATTCGTAATAAGTATAAATAAAAAAATAACAGTTTTAAGCTAAAAAATTATAAATTATAAATAATTATAAAAAACAAAAAATAAAAACAGTAGTAAGACAAAAACGAATTCCATGTATTTATAAAAAACAAAAAATAACAAACAACAGTAAAATAAAAAGCAATTCTAAGTGATCATAAAAATAAAAAATAAAAACAGTAGTAAAATAAAAAAAATCCATGTTGAATAAAAAGCAATTCTAAGTGACAACACAAAACAAAAAGTAAAAACAGTAATAAGACAAAAAACAATTTCATTCCATCCAAATTGATTTTTATTTTTACTATTTGTTATTTTTTTTTATAATCACTTAGAATTACTTTTTATTTCACTGCTGTTTGTTATTTTTTGTTTTATACTTAGTAAGAATCACTTTTAATTTTACTACGAGTACTGTTGTTTGTTTCAGTTTTTTGTTTTTGTGTTTCATTAATTAATATAAATGTATATAAATTTTCCAGTTTTCATATTTTGTCCTAAATACGGAGCCCAATCCGGCAACACCGCAGGCAAGCGTCTCTCATATATGACATATCCACAGACGTCAACGTCATATGGTAGATGGCGATGGAAATAATGCGGGAAATAGCTGCTAAAAAGTACGGTGTTTTGGGAATTTTTTTTATGAAAAGCGTGCTTCATCCACACCTGTTATGATTTAAAATAATTTATCACACTCCCTCTATAAGTTTCAAGTGAAAAAACAGTGAAATCCGAAGTTCTACAAGACGCAACAGTACCGTTATCTGTCTTAAAAGGTAAGTGCAGGCCTTGAATGAAAACTAATAGACTGAGTGATATACATATACATATATGTATAAATCCGAACACCCAGTTTAAATGGTTTTATTTTAATAAAAGTTGGTGAATGTATTTATCTTACTGTAAATAACAAGTGAAAACATTTTCAGCCTTATCAGTTGGACATTCCGGTTTTTATACTGCTTTTTTTTATTCACTAACGCTCTAAAAATGAATATTTCAGCCGCAGTAAAGAATCAACGTTGGCGGATTTTGGTTCTTGACATCCTTTACGATCGGTTACGATGCCTAGAGTACGGAGACCTGTACGATTTCGTCAACTTAGTGAGTTTGATAGGGGCCGTATAGTGGGACTTCGGGAAGCTGGACTTTCTTTTCGGGCAATTGCAGTTAGAGTGCAAAGAAGTGTAGACACTGTGGTTAGGTGTTGTCAGGCATGGCTTCGAGAACGCCGTACGCAAAGAGCAAGGGGCACTGGACGCCGCCGTAGAACAACAGACCGTGAAGATCGCCGCCTAAGATTATTGGCCTTAAGGGACCGTTTCTCCACTACCAGGTCCATTGCAAGTGAATGGTTTGCAGAACACGGAAGACCTATTGGCATGCGAAGTGTTTACCGACGAATGAGAAGTTTTTGCTTGTTTTCATACCGGCCACACCGGGTCCTCCCTTTAACTCGAGAACACCAACGTAATCGCCTTGAGTGGTGCAGACAACGGTCACTCTGGGATCAGGAATGGAACAGTATTGTCTTTAGTGACGAGTCTCGATTTTGTTTAGGCATGCACGATGGTCGTGCCAGGGTTAGAAGGCGACGTGGTGAAAGGAGGAATCCACAGTTTTTTGTTGAAAGACGTGTTCATCACACTGTTGGAGTTATGGTTTGGGGTGCTATAGCTTATGGTTCCAGGTCACCTTTAATCTTCATCAGAGGTAACATGAACGC